AAACAATCGTACCTGCTAATTCCAGGTCTTTCTGAAGCTCTCCACAAGTGGTCCTTTTTCTTTGATTTGATTTATTTGTATGTATGGATCACTTGGGTTGTTACCAACATCTGGTGAAAATTTCATGTCATTAGCACCTCTAGTAATATATTTACTGAGAAAAATGGTAACGTGTTCAATACTTATTTTACCCGCTGTATACATCCAACTTAGYGGTTCTTGACACATTTTACTGACAGAAAAACACAATCACCTTCTCTCACAAAGGTTATCTGCCTTTGCTTTCAGGCATAATGAACAAGGCTGAAACCAGTAATAAATAAATAAAYGTTTATTTTCAAAAAAATGTTATTGTATGTACAGTAAGAACAATGTTTTTAAGCAAGGAGAAAAGTGAAAAATAGAAGCCATTTTGGCCCAAAGGTAAAAGGCTTGTATCAACGAAAATGATGTTGTGTCCCCTTTGGACAAAAAAACAAATCAAACAGTTCATTTACACACAAATACATCCASATATTTCTCATAGGATAAAAATACCTAAATGTTTTTGATTATTGGAAAATACTTTGTCATTCCAAGTGAACATCTGTAAGTTGTGGGGAAAAGCCGGCTGTYTGATGTGTCCCAAGTCTGTGGATGCGTTTCCCCAAATTTTCCAAGGAGGAAAAAATAAATCCTAATCCTAATCTTAGCACCTTTGTTGAAATGAATACTAACTGCAAACAATGAAAAAAAGGAAGCGCAGATTCTGAACCACTTTTGTGAGGTAGACATCAGCAGATTCCAAGATACTGCACTGTTGAAGTGATTGTGATATGTGTRGCTAAAAATACAAAGTGTATCTAAAAAACTGGAAGCATTTTACTGGATGTTTCATCAATAATATCACTCTGAGTTCAACCGATTCTGAATCAATAAATTCACAACATAAAACCAAATCATTTCCAAAGCTCTGATCRTATTTTCAGTTCTTTAATAATCAAATACTGAGTAAAAGTTTTTCTTCTGACAGCTGTGGACAGATGCTGTGATGCATCCCTCTACAAAGAGGTGCACGTCTCTGTTTCGAAACACTCAAATTCAAACTAAGAAGAGAGATCAGGCGTCCATCTTCTGCTTCTTAAAAAGCTTCATGAGCTGGTGGAACCTCTGAGCAATCTGCAAAACACAAAAGTCAGAAGTTATTCCTCCAGCACAGCAGGTCCAACAAACAATGGTTGTCTCTCACTGAGAGACTGTTTACAACTCAGAATAGTGAGAAAATAGATTACCGGTAAGTTTCAAGTAAAGTCTAATTAAAATTACAATCAATAGCTCACATTTTGAGCGGCCAGCTTTTGAAATTTGTGGCCTATTTGTGTACACACGTTAAAGGGGCAATATCATGTAAAATCAACTTTTTTGAGTTTTATATCATGTTATAATGTTATACTCTCATAAAAAACATGCCCAGCCTTGCTTTGACTCATTCATCCATGTTTGAGAAATCCTGCAGTGTTTTTATGAAGTCATGCTGAGGAGCAAAACGACAGGTGGGGACCAGAAACAACTTTTGGGACAAGCTCCTCCTCTGGGACGTGTCTTTAAGCTGAACTTCCTCATGGCAGGGTGCCCCCCCCCCTCCCCACAC